CAGGTCTGGCTCAGGAACAACTGTGTTGAACTATAGCCATGGAACAGGGTTTCCTTAGTAAAAGAAATAATCCGAAAGCTGAACCTATAGCGTTGTAGGGAAGGAGGGAGGGGCATTAACATTTAGAATACTTTTATTGTTTGTTTCTACTGTTTTCAAATTTCTTTTGGAGAGCAAAACATTTCTTTATTAAACAAGTTCTTCTTATTTTTCTGGGAAATAAGATACAAGAGTGAGTTTGATTAAAATGCCTTATGTATGATGAAAATAGGTCATTACATACAAAACTCTGCAGTAAATGTTAATTTAAGGAATTCCACTGATATTTAAAATATTGTAAAATGACATCTACTGTTTAGTTATTTGTTGAATTCTTATATTATACTATGCACTTTATGTCGTATTCAATAATAGTAGATTAACTTAAAGTTTCCTTTTCTGGTGGCATGACATACAACATTTATGCCAACCAAGCTGAAAAACATTTTATGAGCACCTTTTATTTTTAGTTGGAAATCTTTTCTGTTCTCTTCATTCCTCATTTTTCCTAACCTTGATATGGTATCATGAAAAAATGTTAACTACTCAATATAAAAAACTGGAGAAAGCAAAGCATGTAATTCAACACAAGTACTAATTTAAAATAATATCTTACTTAGTCACGTTGACTTCAACCAGTTTTAATCTGTAAAAAGTCCCTTGACTATTATTATGAATTTTAAAAACTTGGAAACAAGCATTTAAATGTTTGTATAAGCTTAAATACATTTTTATTATTGCATGTAGCATTTAAATTCCCAGTTTGATGTATTTGCAAGTAAACTAACTTGGGATACTTAATAATCATTTTTATATTACAGACTAACTCTTTAATTGATTATCTCTCAGAGTAATGCTATACTATTTGTGAGTTTGAAAAGACTGTTCCAAATCACTGCTTAAGTAATGATATCTTAGATGTCAGCAAAACATCCCCTCTACCCTGTTAGGTTCTGTGTCTGGGGCTTGCCAATTAAACTGACAAAAGAGATGTTAACAGGAGGGAAGGTTTATTTCATATGCACATGGGGAAGAAGGGGCTTATAGCAGGTAAGTGAAAACCCCACAGAGGCATTTAGACCCAGGAACCTTATATACCATCTTAACAAAGGGTGATAAAGTGTGGAAAAGAGACCAGACAAAGGAGAAGGGGATTTGGGCTTCTGAGGGTAGTGGTAAGTTGTGAGAAGGTGATTAAGAAATGTATAGTAAATATGGGTTGTTTAGTGAGGTTTATTCTGCAGACTCAAGTCATCTTAGGTGGTAAGAGTTGTCTCTGGAGTCATTCTTGTCTCCTCTTCCTGTTACAGGAGAGGAGGGCACCTTTACATATGGAACTTTCCTTTATAAATATAAATTTACTTCACGAATGGGGAATTTATTTATGCCCTGACAGAAAGACAAGGGGCAAATTGTTCTTCTTGTATCTGTTCGCTGTTAATTGCCTTCAGCTCAAAATAATCCTTATGCGAATGTGGCATATTTTGAGGTGGCATATTCTGATCCCCTTCACTATCTACAGGAGAGAAAAAAAATTAGTTTAAGTTTTATTTGACATTTCCATTATAGAAATGCAGAAAAGATGCAGTTGGTGTGTGAATTTTATTTTGGGCTTATTGCTTATTATAAAAGTACTGTATTATTCATCAGCGTTTACCTAATTTCTTTTAATTCAAAATTCTTTCGGGTAAAGCAAAATAATTATTCAGTGATATCACGCCAAAATCAGTTGTGTTGTGAAGATGATCACTTAGGCAATCAATGGAATCATACTGATTTACAGGACTTAATACAGGGTTATCAAATAAATAATCAGTATTTGTCTTGGATTACCACACCATTTGTGGGTATCAGTCTCTCAGCCACCACCATTTCTTTGCATTCGTCCAGGATTTTCATCAATAAGTAGAGCATATTCAAGAACTTTCCTTTCTTTTTACCTCAGTCCCATAGGCCTGATAAAGTATGTCACCCTCAACCACCTGCAAAGATCCCATGGTTCAGGGGAAAGGCCATGATCTTCTCTTCTCAAAATGTTGGGGGACCCCATTGAGGGACCCCGTTCTAATGTGTCTGAGACTCCAATATTAGATTGCACAAAAGTTAATCTTGGTTTCTATTTTTTAAGGTGGTATCAGTGTTGTAAGTAATGCATGCATCCATTCTTTATTAAAAAATTGTATTACAGATAATAGTAAAGTCTCTTTTTTGCCTTTCCCATGGGCCCCTTGCTTCACTTCTCCCCTACCTTCCTAGAGGTAACCATTTGAATTTGGTATATATTTTTCCAGATCTCTCTCTCTACTATAAATATTTATTGTAGTATTTTGTGTGTGTGTGTGTGTGCTTTTCCTAAATGGTGTTACACTGTGTTATTATTCCATAACTTATGTTTGTATTGAGTAGTTTGTCTCAGTGACTTCTTCATGTTAGTCCCTATAGGTCTACATAATCCATTCAAACTGTGTCTATTATTTATACTGTAACACAGTTCAGTTATTCCCCTATTGGTGTATATTTGTTATTTCCATTTTAAAAATGACTACAATGTTTCAGTGAGCATTCTTATACATATCTTTGTGTGTACATGTGTAAGTGTTGCTCAAGAGTAAATATTGAGAGTTTGCACATTTTTAGTTTGAATGGACACTGCAAAATTGTTCTTCTTGATAACATTTTATCATATAATGCTGTAGAACCTTAAATTAATTCTTTAAGTTAAGACTTAAGCATTGGATTTTCACCTCAAAAGCAAAGGTTTTCTCTCAAGCAGCTGCCTCACCCTGCTCTAATAAGCTCTGGACCTAAAAATAGAAGAGCCATCATCTGTAGCCCTAGGGACCAGCTGGCATATTTTTAGGACACTGTGTATTATGAGCAGAGAAATTATGCAACAAGACCAAATGAGGTAGAGTTTACCTTCAGAAGATAAATAACCTGACTACAGACTCACCAGACAACAGAAGATTCCTGAAGGATAATTATTATTTCAATATAGTTTTCAGAAAAAGGTAAAATCATGTCTCTCCTTCAGATATGAAGATGCACACATATTAAAACATTTATTTACTCATATGATGTGAGGAAACCCGGCAGATGTTAAAATCAATTCAAAGGAAAAGTTAAAAAGCACAAATTTATATGGAGTCAAGGAATGTTGAAATGACTTGCAAATAGAGACAAAAATCTTTTTTCTGCTGGGTGGGGGCATAGAAAAGCAGTCAGTTAAACCACTATCACACAGGAAAAAGTCTATGTATCCGTTACCTACCACTTAGAGAGTTCCAAAATAGCTCAAAGACGGTGGACTGAGCTAGATAAGCCAGTAGTGTATGCTATAGATAATGCATAATTTTTCATTGAAACACAATTTTTTTTCTATGCTATGAACAAATGTATCAGGTTTGCTGAAAATGGTACTATACCTTGATGACCAGTGGGTAGGTAACCTAGACTTGGCAGTCAGGCTCTGGAGAGGGGCCAAGGGAGGGGATCACTGAAAGGGTGGACTTGGAGTTGCTTTGGGAACTGCCGTATTTAAGTAATTCAGATGAGTCAGTGTCAAATAGACAAAGGGTCTGGGCCCTTTTTGCTATTCCTGAGTAAGAATCCCAGTTTTAGCTTGGGCTCCACCACTTTGTAACCTTGAACAAGTTGTCTAACCTTGCGGATACTCAGTTTCTTCATCAGTAAAATGAGAATGATAATACTATCTTACGAGGATGGAGTAGAGTAACTCATATCTCATTGTGAGGATTCAGTGATCTTCCAATGTAATTAAAATACACAACACAAACTCAATAAATGTAGTCCGTAGTGTCACCCAGGTACCTCCTAGGGAAAGCTTATTCCATTTCTGATATTTTGCAGCTAGACCTGGCTTCTTGTCATTTAGGACTCAGTTTAAATGTCTTCTCAGAGATGCCTTTCCTGACCGCCCAACTTCAGTACCTCGTTAGCCCTCTCTTTTACCTTATCCATTCTTATTTTCATTATAGCACTTATCAGCACTTCCTGTTTTCTTGTTTATTTCTTTAAACTTCTTTATTCGTTGTCTCTCATCATTAGAATGTAAGTTTCAAAGAAAAAAAAAAAAGTAGAATTTTTGTCTTATTACCATGATGCGTCCTCTTCCAGGTAGGACAATGCCTATCCCCTATTTGCCATCCAGTAAATGTTTCTTGAATGAATAGGGCAATACTCTCTCTCTGTCTACTCCAGTAGGAATCCCCTAGCACCTTTTCTGCTGGGCCTTTCTTTGTCTCCAGCCAGCACACCCGACGTAGGGAGAAGACCTGTGGTGAGAGAAGAGCTGATGGAAGAGCAAAAGGGCAAGATTATACTGAGATGTTAGCAGAAGGGAATATGGAGTAACAGGAAGGAGAGGATGGGAGAGAAAACCACAACCTGTTCTGACACAATTGTGGCATTAAGTTTTTGGATGTTTTATTTTACTTTTTTGATAAAGTGATGTAGATATTTTTTCAGATTCATAAAATCCTAGAAATGAAAGCTAATTTAGTCCCACTCTTTTTTTTTTTTCCTCCTCGCCAAAGCCCCCTGGAACATAGTTGTAGATTCTAGTTGTGAGTGCCTCTGCTTGTGCTATGTGGGACGCCGCCTCAGCGTGGCCTGATGAGCAGCACCATGTCCACACCTAGGATCCGAACCAGTGAAACCCCAGGCCGCTGAAGCCACTCAGCCACGGTGGGGGCCCTAGTCCAACTCCTTTTACATACACAGCATTTTATAGATAAGAAACTGGTCTGAGGGACGAAGTGACCAGTCCAAAGGGCACAGTTAATCTGCTGATAGAACTGGGACTCCAGATTGATTTTTCTAATCTTATTCTAATTCTTTTTCTTAATATATGCTTTGGTTTGTCACATATACGAGATGTTGAGTAATGTTCTGAACATTTGCATTTTCATAAATATCCTTTTTTTTCCTTTTCCCAATAGGTAGAAAACAGACCAAAGTATTATGGAAGAGAGTAAGTATGGATTATCAGAAGACATTTTATAGATTGAAATATGTAAGAGACACAGGTTAATGGATGCTTTTAGTAAAAATAAAAGCAAGACGAAGGAGGTATTTAAGTTTGGATAAGTTGAATTATTTTTCTGATTATAAATGTAATTATTCTAATTAGCGAAAATAAAGACAAATATAGAGAAGAAAATAGCATGGGAAAATGTATATGCAATAATGTTAAAATAGAGATGCAAGCCATGTAAGTAAATAAATAATCCTAGCTGTATGTGACAAAAATATATATATTTGTATGTATGTCTGTATTAAGCATATAGACATATGTATGCAAATATATACATACAGCAGGGTATGGGTGGTTTATTCTATGTTTATATTTTATTTTCCAAAGTTTTTCTATAAATAAATTCATGTTACCTAGAAATAACTAAATTTAGCAATTTGAAGTATTACCTTCTGAAGATCTGTTATCCTAATGGTTTTTACAAAATTGAGATACATAAAATTTTTATAGCCTGATTTTTCCATTTAATGTTAATAATGAGCATTTTTCTATTTTATGAAAAATGTAATAATTTTTAAAGTCCTTAGTTTTTCTGATTATTAAAAAACCAGAAATATATTTTATTCTTTGGGGAAAAGAATAAAAATCACCTATAATCATATCATTCCCTGAATAAAGTCGTTTGTTTTTCATGACTTAAGATCATATCAGAGAAACAATAATGTTTATAGCAAATATTTTAGAATTATTATTAAATTATTAAATTATTTATTCTGTTTAACTTTCAAAACTCTTGTGAATGTTGGGGGGAGCCACTGGTGTTCTTTATGGTTGGGCCATCATGTAGTCATTTCTCTGTTCTTGGCATTTAGGTTGCTTTTAAACTACATTATTGAAAGTAACACCATAAGAAACATGGTAAAGCATAAAGCTTTTTTTCTGGGGTGGAAATTTTGGATCAACTGGTATGAATAGTTTTAAGGTTCTTTAAATATCATTGTCAAGTTTTGTTCTCAAATGTGTTTCCTTGAGTGAGATTTTCTTTTAAATTAATTGTTTTTTTAAAATGGATAGATAATAAATTTTACTTACTTCATTAATTAGTATCATATAAACTTAATATACCAATATGCTAATCTAATGGTATGTGTTACTACTAGAGATAGTTTACCATCTTTCTGCTTCGAGCAGGGTCAGAGTGGGCCTGGTTCTGAAATACTGAGGAATTTCTGGAGATAAGAAATTCCAGGGGCCAGCCTGATGGCGCAGTGGTTCAGTTCACACGTTCCGCTTCAGCGGCCCGGGGTTCGCAGGTTCGGATCCTGGGTGCAGACATGGCACCACTTGGCAAGCCATGCTGTGGTAGGCGTCCCACATATAAAGTAGAGGAAGAAGGGCATGGATGTTAGCTCAGGACCAGCCTTCCTCAGCAAAAAGAGGAGGATTGGCAGCAGTTAGCTCAGGGCTAATCTTCCTCAACAAAGAAAGAAAGAAAGAAATTCCAGGAGCCCATTGTTAAACCTAGCTGTTCTAATTGTCATGATTTGAACATACCTTCCATGAACTGTTTTAAGACTTCAGTTGAGAAAGACTGAATCGTTTCCATGAGAAAAACTCCCAGAAGTTGTCACTTGCTCCCTAGTAAAGTTCCTAAATTATTAAGGTGCCATTTCAGCACCTTTTAAATTTGTCATTCCAAATTCAAGTGACTTGTTTTTTTTCATACCGGTAAAAGCTGCAATCAGTTTCATTTGAGCAATCGCTCAATTCACTTATCTTTGAGTCACTAGAAGGACATCATATATGTGTATGTTCTTTGTAAATTGTAAATCACCATACGAATATGAGGTGGTTTTATATTTTTAACATTAATCGACAATCACCACTGACGATTTTCTTTTTCAGCATTTCGTGTCAGAATGTTTTAGATAAATCTACTGTGTTTGTGTAACGAGTGTGTTATTTATGTTTATTCTTCTTCCTTCTTTTTTCTCTGTTAATCAAAAATAGGGTTTTAGCAGGGAGTGAAAGCAAGTATTACAGTTGTTTGCTTTTGGCTTGAGTATCCAGCGATGCAGATTATGCACATTATTGGGCAATCATGCCAATTAAGGGCAACCCAGGGTCCTGGAAAATTGCCAACATAGACTCTCAGCCAGAACTTTGGAGCAGTGCCACTAGTGTGAAGAAAGGAAATGGGACACATTTTTGTATATTTTTTAGCATGTCCATATGGTCAGATGGCTGCATAAGAAGGTAGTTGTCCTCTTGAGAGAGGTGGTTGATCCCATAGACGGATGTGAATTTTGATTTCATGATTGTTAAATGGATTGGAGCGCTACTGTGGTGCTGTTCTTGTCACCACTGAGAAGCTGGCCATAGGCCAAGCCCTGAGAAACACACGCATAGTTAAACCCAACTGCTCCCCTTCAATTATATGGCAGGACTTTGTCTAGAAAACAACAGGAGAAGGTGGAGGGTTTGTTTTATGGAAAAAGGTGACAAGCATGCTGTTTCTGAATTGACTTTGTTTCTTAGATTTCACGGCATGATCTCCCGAGAAGCAGCAGACCAGCTCCTGAGTGTGGCTGAGGGGAGCTACCTCATTCGGGAGAGCCAGCGCCAGCCCGGAACCTACACTTTGGCTTTAAGGTTGGTCATGGACCTGTAATTATAACTGTGCTTCATTTAAAACCCTCTTAATAGAAGGCTTTAAATTTTAAAAGCATCCAGCATGTAATTGAATTGGTTCTTGTTTTCTTGGGACCTAATTACCATTTTAATAGCTTTGAGACCCTTAAAAAATTCCTCATGAATGGTAGCACACAGTAATTAAGAATTGAAAAACTTTTAAAGCATTTTTATTGTAGCTTCTTTCTTCTATTTCATCTTACCGTTCTCTCCCTTCTGTCCTGCTGTGTCAGCTCCCATCTATTTCTTGAATAAGGAAAGGAACAAAGAGAAAAGATCTTTGTAACTCATAAAATGAAAGCCAGTGCAGTTTCTCTTAGGTTGGCTTTTGGTTGAAGCAGCTTTTCTTGGGAGCTCTTGGCTCTTTCCTATCAACTGAACTTTGCCTGGCGTTTTGGCTGTTCCTAGCCTACAGCACAGGGCCCAGAAACCCTGCAGTAACATCGGGACAATAATACAATAGCGTGCTTATCCTTTGGGCTTACCTCCTGCCAGCCCTCTAACCTCATTTAATCTTCACAACAGCTCTAGGATGTATGTACTGTTGCCATCTCCACTTTACAGGTAAGGAAACAGAGGACCTAGAGGTTGAGTAACTTGGCCAACGTCATGCATTTAATAATTCGTGTAGCTAATATTCGAACCCAGACAATCTGGCTTCAGAATTTGCCCTTAATCACTCTCCGTTGCTGCCTCTAAAAGCTTGGAATAGTTATCAGTTGTCTTTCTTTGTTCATGCCCTCCTTTGTTCCTTTGTGTTTCCATTCATCCATTTAGAAAAGCCTTAAAGGTAGAGCGTGAAAGAGGTCAAAGAAATGGCGTTTCTTTTCACAGCGAAGCCACAGAGGGAGAATAGAAAGATGATGCTATTACTTAGGTCTCTAATATGACCATGTCTAACTTCTTCTCCAATCGCTTCTGCCTGTTTGGGTGAGCAGGGACTGCTCTTATTTCCAGATTTAATGTTAATCTGTCTGACAGAAAGAATGATGTAATTCAGTATTCTTTCATACTGAATTCTGGATCAATTGCATACTTGGAGAAGGAACTTGTTATAGGAGTTCACGGAAATTTGCTTTTTATGGCAAATTATAAAGTGTAAATCTGCCTCCAATTAAATAATTATATTGTTTTTGAGGTTTAAATTGTGGTTATAGGGAAAAAAGTCTGGGCTGGGAATTTAAATACCTATTCATTTTACCACTAAATGAACTAGAAGACTGATTTGGGGCAAATCACAGGATTTCTTGAAGTTAGTTTCTTCATCTTTCTGCTCCTAACATTTTATAATTCTGGGATTCTACAACACCACATTTCCAGATAGTCTGGTCATCTGAGTGTCTGGAGTAAACAAGCCTTGACGTCAAGGCCGGTGGACCAGAATAAGGGCAAAGGAGGTGGAGTGAGGGGAGAGACAGAAATCTGCCCGCACGCTCTTCCTTTCCCCTTTGTTGCTGGCACCCCTGCCTCCTCTGAGATCACGTAGTAAGTTACAAAACTGGGATTTGAACTCAGTTTTGCCTCAGTGCAAAATCCAGGTATTTTCCATTATATCATATTGCCTCTCCTAATGTGGCTGTCATGCAGTTTTCACTGAGTGACACCAGCAGACACCCTAGGGCCAAGGCTTTAGTTTGGAGAAAAGTAGCTCCCAAACCTCCCAAGCTCCTCCTCATTCCCACCCTCTCAGCCTCTTTTGTGCTACTCACAACTTTAAGTTTATGAGGACTTCCCATCCACTTTGGCCCAGGAAGTCCTAGAATAGAAATTGGAGAATAGGTGAACAGGAATGATGAGAGTGCTTTTAATTCATAGGTCTAGGGTAGCATGCAGCCTTCCTTTTCTTATTGAAAAATCATGATAAAATTGTTACGTGGAAAAGGAATGGTAGTGAGCAAAAGGGGTTGTAGTAGGGATAGGGAATTTGGGAACATGCATTGTGAGTAATTTTTATGCTGAAATGTGATTTTCCTTGTTCTGAACTAGAGGTATGGCGGGAAAGTGTTAAGCAGAATATGAAATAGAAGTTATATTGACGCATCTGTGATTCTTGTTTGATACTCCCCATTTCAACTAAAGATCCTCCCAATTCATGTTAATTTTGTTATTTTTAACATAATGCATGATCCGTTGGGGGAAGCCGGTTTGATACCTTAAAGCCATCAATGTTCATTATGTGTTTACTGTGTTATCCAAGGAATAATTCCTAAAATTAGGAATAAGGTGCCTTGAACTCAAGTTTCTCCTTGGGTCCCTCAACCTCAGTATGTCCAAAACTGAACTCATCAGTTTCCCTCCCAAGTAGAGCATCTGTATTCCCTTTATGAGCTGGTGGCACTATTTTTTAGTCAGTCCACAGGACTGAAACCAAGACCTCATTTTTCTTTTTGCTCTCAGTTCTATTTTAAGATGTTTTATTTGTTTAGAGCCCCCATCTACATCATATCAAACACTATATCCCATATTAAATATGTATTTTTTGCTGTTAAGATTATGTTTTTTAAAAAATATAAATTGCTTTTGAAATTAACTTTAACTTTGTAGTTTTTCTTTTGTGTTTTGGAGCTGTGCTTTTGTTTTTTCATATCATACCTTTTCATAGCCTCTGGAAAGCCCAGGGTACTGACCTACGTTGTCTGATGGTCAGAGGACTTTTTCTTCTTGCTCATCTCACACAGCCAAACTCAACAATCTTTTATTTCTTAAGTATGTCTCAAGTTTTCCCGTTCTTTTCAACTTCAAGCTGCTTCCTGGACTAGTTCAGTAACTGTCTAAGAATCTCCCTGTATCCAACCTTCCCCTCTAATGGATCTTCCTCAGTGTCAGAAATGATCAATCTCAAAATCTGATACAGTGAGCAGCAGAAGTGTAATGTTGATGTTGAGTAGGGCACAAGGTTGAAAGAACACAGCCCCCTCCAGCACTGGCATGTCCCCTGAACTTGTGGGGGCCTACTCCTTCACTGAGGATCTTTGTGTATAATGTGAGGTGTTATTTAGGGGACCGTGTATTGTGTGTGTCCTGTAAAAGTACTAATTTTATGCCATCAGAAAAGAGATTCTCATTGTATGACATGGAAGGTCATCTGTGGGTGATATCTTTCTTTCCTCCTCAGCATCATCTTCTCCAGCACTGTATCTCAGCCTGAATTTCAGGCCAGGCCTTGTCTGGCTTTTCTGCCTTTGCTCATGTTGACCCCTTGGTTCAGGAAAAATGATTGTTAGTCAATGAAAGTTTTTTATACAATGGAGGCATACAGACAGGCATCCACGTGGTTGGAGTGTGTAGTTAAAGATAAGATGCTACCCCAGGCACTAGATTATGCCTCATGAAGCATGAAGTGTTTCATAGTGACTTGGGGATCTTCTGTATGTTGATTCTGACAACATTTGCCTTCGTTTAATGAGATAGTATGGCATGTATCAGTTATCAGTAACCAAAAATAAGAAGTTTGGTTGAAAGCATTTTTCTTTATGATTTTCATAGTTTTAGAACTAATTCTTTAAAAAAAGTTTGTAACTCATTCTATAATTTTTCTCACTAAAAGAAAAAATTATTAGGTTCAGTGTTGTACGTGTTAAGTGAGAAATGAGAAGGAATAGCACCAGTGCATGTTTGGTGGTATCCTTTTTATTAAATGTTAAGTATATCCAAAAGAATACTCATAAGAGATATAAAAATTATTAAATATCATGATAAATATCATGATAACTGTTAAGTGCCCTGCATGTATTTTAAGCAACAGCCATTGCCTTGGGCGTCTCCTGTGTCCTATAGATCCCTCCCCTATTCTGTCCTGCTTCCTTCTGGCCCTCACAATGGCAAGCCTATCCTGATGATCATCTCCTTACTTTTCTCTATAGGTTTATAACATATGTTTTTATCACGACATACTATGCTGTTTTGATTTCATCATTTTTGAACTTTAAATAAATAGAACATATAGAATATACTCTTCAGGGTTTTTTTTGACTCAACGTTTTGTTCTTGAGATTTATCTTTGCTGTACAGCAAGGCTATAATTCATTCTTTTTCACTGCTATATAATAACCTAATAAGTATACTATAATTTGTTTATTCATCCTACTATTGATGGACATGTGGGTAGTCTCTAGTTTGGGGCTATTGAAAACAGTCCTGCTGTGTATAATAATCTTGGATGTGTCTCCTGGTGCATGTTAAGATTTTCTCTAGGATATTTACTTATATGTGAAATTGCTGCTTTTGCTTCATTAGATCTTTTGCTTTATTAACAATGACAGTTTTTTCCAAAGTAGTTGTGCCAATGTCTACTCCAGAACTGTGTATAAGAATTCCTGTTGTTTCTTTTTCGCTTTCACTTAATGCTGTCAGACTTTATGCCCTTCGATGGTGTCTGGTGATTAATTTGTGTATCTCTGATCCCTAATGAGATTGAGCATCTTTTCATGTTTATTGACTACTTTTATTTTCTCTTCTGTGAAGTGCCTATTCAGACCCTTTACCCTTTCTTCTGTTGGGTTCCATGGCTTTTTCTTGTGGATTCATAAAAGTCATTTGTTCTGGAGACTAGTCATTTGGTATATATGAATTGAAATATCTCCTCCAAGTTTGTGACTTGTACTTTATTTCCACTTATAGTGTTCTTAAGTTTTTAATTTTAGCTGAATATGTACTCCACTTTCATTTAATGTAATTACTAATATTTTTTGGTTTAAAATACTACCTTATTATTTATTTTCTATTTGATCCTCCTGTTTCATGTTTCTTTTTCTTTGTTGACTTCTTTTGGACAAATCAATTTTATTTCATTTTTTCTCTTTATTAAGTCGAGTTATATGTTCTTTTACTGTTCTTTTAATGATTAAACTTGAGATTATAACACTTGTCCTTGGCTGATTTATATTTAATATAAATGGTTACTTTTAGCACTTTCCCAATAATACTAGAATCTTAGAAAACGTTCAACTCCATTTACCTCT